AAAACCAACAAAAAGATCTCCCTGTTTTTCTATTTCAGGGCCCTGTATTCTATTCCACCAATTAATTTATCTCTGCACCAAAACTACACTGTTTTAATACAATACTTTTGAGTAAATCTTATATCTGATAGGTCAAGTCTTCCAACTTTGTTATTCTTCCTCAAGACTTTTTTAGATAGTCCTGGCCCTTTTCACATACATATACATCTTAGAATCAGCTTGCCAGGATCTGCATAAGACCCTGCTGTGTTTTTATCGGAAATAAATTGAATCTAAAGAGCAATATAAAGAAGATTAACATAATTTACCATGAGTCTTTCTCCATTTATTTAGCTCTTATTTAATAGCTCTGAATATGAGTTTCATTTTTTGTTGGATTTGTTCTTATATACTTTGTGATTTTGTGGTATCATAAATGGAATCCTCTCTAAAATTTCATTTTCCAACTGTTTTCAAGTAAATAAAATTTACTTTTATGCAAATACAGTACCAAGCAACATTACTAAACTTTCTTTTTATTCTAATGTTTGCCTGCAGGTTCCTTTGGATTTTTTAATATACGTAATCGTATCATTTATGAATAATGACAGTTCTTTCTTCTTAATACCATGCCTTCTCTTCTTTTCCTTATCACATTGCTTAGTGCTTCCAATGCAGTTTTGATTAGAAGTGGTAACAGCAGATATCCCTACTGCTAGTTCTGATGTCAAACAGAAAGCTTGCGGCATTCACTATCAGGGCTGGCATCAGCTCAAGGTTTCTTATAGACATTCGTAATCAAGTTAACAAAGATGCTTCTGTTCCTAGTGCATTAAAGTTTTATTGTGAACATGTGTTGGATTTTACTATATACCTTTTTTCTAAATCTACTGAGATGATCATAAAATAGTCTTCTTTTTTTCTGCTAAAATGGTGAGTTATATTGTTTTAGGGCTAAAACAAGTTGCATTCCTGGAGTAAACACAACCTGGTCATGATATATTATCTTTTTAGCAGATTGCTAAGTTCTATTCACTCGTGATTTCTTTGGGATTTTCTCATCTATGTTCATAAGTGAGATTAGCCTGTAATTTTACCTTCTCAAAGTGTTCTTGTTGGTTTTAGATATCAGTGTTATACTAGACTCAGAAAATGATTGAAGGAGTGGTTCCTCTGACATGTCAGATCTTAACATGTCCAAAACTGAACGACTGACCTTCCAGCCCACACATGCTGCGTTTGGAACTAAGGGTAATTCCGTCCTTCCTGCTGCTCAAACCAAAAATTTTGGTGCTGTCCTTTTCTCTGTTATTCCTTATCCAATCCATCAGAAAATCCTGTTGGTGCTATATTCAAAATATGTCTGTAACGACCCCTTTGTACCACCCCAGTGTGTGCCACTCTGGCCCAAGTCACAGGCCTCTCACTCGTGGATTACTGCAGTAGTTCCTCTGACCCTCTAGAGCAGGGGTCGGCAAAAGTTTTCTGTAAAAGTTCCAGTAATAAGTATTTTAGATGTTGCAGGCCACTCAGTCTCTGCTGTGGCTGTACAATTGTGTTGTGGTGCAGAAGCAGCCACACACAGCACATGATGAAGGGGCATGGCCTGATTTTGCTGGAGTTTACCAACCCCTGCCCTCTAGGGGAAGCTATTTTTTTTTAATTAAAAAATTATTTTTTAAAGTATAGTTGATTTACAATGCTGTTAGTTTCTGATGTACAGCATAGTGATTCAGTTATACAGACACACACATATATATGTATTGTTTTTCAGATTCTTTTCCATTTTAGGTTATTACAAGGTATTGAATACAGTTCCCTGTGCTATGCAGTAGGTCCACGCTATTCATCTGTTTTATATATAGTAGCGTGTACCTGCTAATCCCAAACTCTTAATTTATCACCTCCCCCTTACCCTTTGGTAACCATAAGTTTATTTTCTATATGAGTCTGTTTCTGTTTCATAAATAATTCTACCTATGTCATTTTTTTAGATTCCACATATAAGTGATATCATAAGATATTTGTCTTTCTCTGTCTGACTTACTTCACTTAGACTATTCTTAACACTGATGACAGCAACCCTTTTAAAGTGTAAATCGGATCATGTCACTCATTCATTGAAAACCCTCCAATGACTTCCCATCTCTCAGAGTTAAAGACAGAACCCTTAGTGTCCTACAAGGCCCTGATCTAGTTCTGTCACCTCTTTTTACTTTACTTTAATCTCCCCCCTTCTCTCTCTGTGTCTCCCTGTCACTTAGCTCCAGCCTCATCAGTTCCTTCACCATTCCTAAAACAGGCTTGCCCCCACCTCAGGACATTTGCACTGCTTTTTACTCTGGCCAGAATGGCTCTCCCGCCAGCTGCCACCTGGCTTACTCAACTCTTTTAAGTCTTAGATCAGATGTTACTTCTCAGCAAGGCCTCTTCTGGGCATCCTATTTCCATCCCCTCCCCTAACACATTTTTCCCCTCTTTACTCAGCTCTGTATTTTCCATAACACTAATCACCTTCTGATGCACTATATAACTGATTTTTAAAATACGTTGGTTGTTTATTGTCTGTATTTTCACCTGCTAGAAGCAAACTCAGTGAAGTCAGGGTTTTATTCTATTTTGTTTGCTGCTTTATCCCCAATGACTAGAACACTATCTGTCTTAGAGTCAGTACTCAGTAAATATTTATTAGGTATATGGATGGATGGATAGGTGGATGGATGGATGGGTGGATGCATGGATGCATGGATGCATGGGTAGATCAAAGAAATGCCACAGACTAGAATTTCCTATAGTGTATTCATTGGAACGTTAGTTCTACAAAGTGGAATGATGCTAATAGTTAGAATCCAAGTGATAAAATACTGCTCATTATTGACTTCTTTGGTGGAATTAAGTGTCTGACCAAGTCATGGGCAATATTTCACAGGAAATATTCAAGCAAAGCCTAGACACTAATGATTAAATTCCAAAGACGTACAAGTTATTCTTGCAACAGGTTGGAGACTGGCTAGTATGGCCTCTAAAGGGCTCCAAACACAGTGCATCCCAAGATTCTGTGATACCTCCCCAGTTGTTTGTAGCAATGGTGATCATAACATTTGTTCAGTTTGTGACAAGCGCTTGTGTGTTGCTGAAACAGGTAGTTTTCCATAGTGTATGCCAATGTCACATTAAGCTAGGAATATTTTCCAGTCTTGAGATTTTCTTCTTGGCAAAAAATTGGAGACCTTAGTAGAAATTATTGGCAAAAGAGCCAGAATATTTGCACACCATGAAATATTTGTGTCTTGGCTAGAAAGAAGTTACTGTTTAAAAGAGAAGGAGCAAAAAAGTCTTAGCAAAAAATTCCTACATGACATACTGCAGCTAATGTGGCCTCTCTTTTACTTTAAATTTTTAAATTTTTACTAATATTATTTGGGTTTCCCATGTTTGTCTTGGATTTTTGTCCTTCAAAAGAATTCAAAATATGTAATATCTCATTGCCTTTTTTTTTCTTTTCCTTAACCAAATGTT